AGCATCAGCAAGAGGCCTAATATGCCTCCCAGCACGACTACTAGCCTATACGTGCATTTCATTTTGGCACGAAAACCCACACATGACACCTGCCATCACGCCCTCATCACGCCCGACGCGTCCATCACGCCCACTCGCACGCCTTGCTCCTTCCAAGCGCTCTGCACTTTCTCTTCTGTTGTGGTTGCCTTGAGCCCAAATGTTGTACTGCCTTGCACGGTTATACATTATTTGATATCTCATTGCTAATGCATTTATAAATGAAATACTAAATCAATTTTAGTTCAATATTTTAATTGATATTCTTTTAGAAATAGTATAAACACTAGTTCGAAAGGGAGATATTTTACGTTTGGCACCATGTAAAGCTTCTGTTTGTTTACATACTTTTTTGGCGAGGCGAAGGAACAAAAGAAGCGCAGCATGAAATAAAGCGAATTAAAATACAATTATTTATATTCAGAATTTGTTATACCACGATTCACTATTGAACATCTAATGGGGTAAATAAGTAAATAGTGAACGGCAGATGATTTCGTTTGATTTAAAAAGGCGACATTTCTTAATCCATAGATACTGCAAAAAAAATTAAAATATACAAATAACTAACCCAAGTTATGACATAATTGCAAAAACATGATAAAAATTATACCTGTTACATCAATAAAACTAATGTCATTGTCATTCATTGGGTATATGACAATGCAGATCACCAGTACTATCTGTATGATTTTTAATACCATTGATATTTTTTGAATTACAATTATTTATTATTACTGTTGCAGTTATCATTTGCATCATTTACTACTATTGTTATCATTAATAAGAAGTGTTATGATAATCATATTAGTAATAATAATAATGATTGCAATAATATTAATGGCAATAATAGTAAAACAATGAAATCAATGTAACATAATCATTAATATTATCATTATTATATTATTATTATTATTATTATTATTATTATTATTATTATTATTATTATTATTATTAATTATTATATATTATTATATTATTATTATCATTATTATTGTCATTATTATTATTATTATCATCATTATCATTATTATTATTATTATAATTATTACTATTATTATTATTATCATTATTATTATTATTTTTTGTTATTTATTATCATTATTATTATTATTGCTATTATTGATATTATTGTTACTATTATTATCATTATCATTATTATTATTATTATTATTATTATTATTATTATTATTATTATTATTATTATTATTATTATTATTATTATTATTATTATTATTATTATTATTATTATTATCATTATTATTATCATTATTCATATTATTATTATTATTATTATTATTATTATTATTATTATTATTATTATTATTATTATTATTATTATTATTAATTATTATTATATTATTATCATTATCTATTATTATCATTTTCATTATCATTATCATTATTATCATTATCATTATTATTACTATTATTATTATTATTGTTACCATTATCATCATCATCATCATTATATCAATAATGATTATAATACAAATCATTATCAACATCGTCTTCGTCCTCCTTCTCCTTCTCCTTCCTCTCTCCTCTCCTACTCCTTCTCCGTCTCTCTCCTCCTCCTCCTCCTCCTCCTCCTCCTCATCATCCATCATCATCATCATCCATCATCATCATCATCATCATCATCATCATCATCATCATCATCAATCATCATCATCATCATCATCATCAATCATCATCATCATCATCATCATCATCATCATCATCATCATCATCATCATCATCTACATCATCATCATTATCATCGATCTCTTTACCGCCAATAGCAAATAGTAATAATGATAATGATAATAATAGTAATACTGATAATGATAACAGTAATGATATAAATGATAATCATAATAATAGGGATAATGATAACAAAGATAACAGTGATAATAAGGGAAACAATGATAATAGTGATAATGATAATAGTAATTGTTATTATAATGATAATAATAATAATAGCAACAATAATAGTTATATACATAGTATCACTAATGATAGCAATAACACAGATTATAGTGATGATAAAATTGCATTGATAATAATGATAATTATAATCATAACAATAATAATAGTAGCAATGAAGTGATAATGATAGTGATAAAATGACAATGATAATGAATATGATTATAATCATAACAATAATAACAGTAGCAATAAGATGATAATAATGATGATATTAATGATATTAATTATAATGGCAATAAAGATAATAATAATAATGATAATAACATTAATCATAACAATAATAATAATGATAATAACAATAACAATTATGAGCATAATAACAATAATAATGATAAGAACAATGAAAATGAGAATAGGGTCAGTAATGATGATAATGATAATGATATCAGGATAATGATGATAATAATATCATCACTATAATCATTATTGTTATCATCATTAATACTAATATCATTATTATTACAAGTTTTGTAATGATTATCATTATTGT